GCGATGATGAAATGATGAAGACGTTCTTTCTTATGGGAGCTGCTGTCGTCGAGGAAGAAGAACAAGGGAAAGGTTCAACTTAAGTTCAACACAAAAGACGTACCGTGCTCCATCGATACCGACTGGAAGATCACAATCGGTTGTTCCAAGATTATTTTGCTGACACACCAACATATCCTCTTCATTATTTTCGTCGAAGATTCAGAATGTCGCATTCGTTATTCCTTCGAATCCACGACGCTGTCGTCGAACATGACAAGTACTTCGTCCAAAAGAGGAATGGTGCTGGACAGTTAGGACTATCTAGCCTTCAAAAGATTACTGCAGCTATGCGGATGCTCGCATATGGAGCATCCGCTGACGCCGTTGACGACTACGTTCGGATCGGTAAAAGGACGTCGCTTGAGAGCGTGAAGAGGTTCGTTCGATCGATTATCAACATCTTTGGGGAGGAATACCTTCGTTCACCGACTAATGAAGACATTGCACGCCTGCTCGAGGAAGGTTCACAACGAGGTTTTCCTGGTATGCTTGGGAGCATCGACTGCATGCACTGGGTATGAAAGAACTGTCCAACCGCCTGACAAGGTATGTATACTAGGCATTTTCATGAACCTACAATTATTTTGGAGGCCGTAGCTAGCAAAGATCTTTGGATATGACATGTATTCTTTGGACTGCCGGGGTCTCACAATGACCTCAATGTGCTACATCGTTCATCGGTTTTTGCACAATTTGCGGAGGGAAGAGCTTCACCGTGCAACTATACTGTTAATGGCCACGAGTACAATATGGGATACTATCTCACCGACGGGATTTACCCAGAGTGGTCCACCTTAGTGAAGACTATTCCAGCACCGCGAGGAAACAAGCATAAATACTTTGCTCAACAACAAGAGAGCGCAAGAAAAGATGTTGAGCGAGCTTTTGGTGTGTTGCAAGCTCGATTTGCGATTGTTCGTGGACCAGGCAAGAAAAGATGTTGAGCGAGCTTTTGGTGTGTTGCAAGCTCGATTTGCGATTGTTCGTGGACCAGGATGTTTCTGACAACCTAGTGTGCTGAAAGACATCATGGCAGCTTACATCATAATGCATAACATGATCGTTGAAGATGAACGAGATTGTTAATTGGACAACAACTTCTACTTTAATGATTCGATACCAGTCGTTGAACCTTCTCATGTGCAGACGGTGCCTCTAACTGAGTTCATCCAGAACCTTCTCATGTGCAGACGGTGCCTCTAACTGAGTTCATCCAAAATCATCATCGGATCAGGAACACGTAAACACACAAATCACCCAAAATCATCATCGGATCAGGAACACGTAAACACACAAATCACTAAAGAATGATTTGATCGAGCATCTGTAGCAGCTCAAGGGATCCATCGACGAGGATTAAGTTTCTTTATGTCTAATGTAATTTCAGCAAAGAAGTTCGAGTTGTTGTACTACGTCAATTCTCTTTTCAATAAAGTAGTTGTTTTCATTAAATGCTAAAATTTTCAACTTCAAGTAGAATCATAAATCTAATACAAGATAATTAGGAAGAACTAATTAGGATGCGATGCGAGTACAATCATACATCTAATACAAGATAATATATGATAATTAGGAAGAACCCTTAGACATCCACCTCTCTAATATCTCTGCCTGACGCATTTCAAAGTATTATCGTTGAACTGGATTAAGTGTTGAGAGATCCATCTTCATGATATCGTCATCTTGTTTCTTTTGTTTTAGCTCTATTTTTTGATTTGTGGTCTCCTTCATCCACGCGAATGCCTCTCCCATGATGGACGTAGCGGATCCAGAGTTTTCCACATTTTGTTTCCTCTTGAGCTTTGCTGCTTTCCTCCCTTCAGGTCTTACTAACACATCATCCGTGTCAGTGTTCAACTCGATGGGGGTCGCTGGCATGGAATTGTTTGGTGAGGAATCAGAGTTTGTGGTTCTTCTCGGCTATGATCGAATCTTATTGTAAGTTTCCATTTGTTGGATCCACTTTTGATGATGACGCAACTCAACCCAGCAATGATCAAACACGAATGGCTTACCATAAAGGGATTGGTATAATTCTTTTACTTCTGCAGTCTACACAAGAGTTAAATTTAGAATAATCAAACATAATTAAACATATATATTCCTCTCTTCAATGCTATGTTGTTTACATAAAAACATATAAGTTAAATATTTACCTGGTCAATAATTCCCGTACCAGATCTTTGTCTTCCTTCAATCTGAGCAACGCACCCGCAGAACTTGTTGACGGACAGTTGAATCGTTGACCAACGATGCATCATTTGGGTTGGTGTGCGGCTCGTTGGATCGACAGAGTATTGGATAAAGTAGTTGTTAGTTTCTGTGCCAAACTTATCTTGTGTGCCCCGTACCTTGGATGGCGTCTTGGCTCTCGTGTCAGGGCCTAAGCAGCAGACAAAGCTTATCCTCTGTGACAGTCTAATTTCGGACCGCTGTGTAAGCTTCTCTTCTTATGTGGTCGGTGTGGTTCTTTGGGATGAAGACGTTTGTTTGTTGCTTGATTGGAGAAACTCGAGGGGTTACTCTTCTCTATGCAACTTCTGTATAAACGACGGTAATAGTCGATGATCAACGGTAAGAAGAGTGCGAAATAATAGTTTTGTGGGGATCGCTGAGATTTGTAATTCTGATAGGGAAATATAGAGTTTATTATGAGAGAGTTGTGTGAAATGATTTTTGTGTTGAAGTAAAATGAATTTATAGATGTTTTTTTACTGTTCATGCTATTTTTTTAATCCCAACAGCTAAATTTTTTAACTGCTGGATTTTTCATCAGTCTTCAACGGTACATTTTCCTCTCAAGAAACTTTGATCAACATCATCTTCAACGGTGCATTTTCCCCTATTCAACGGTGCATTTTCCCCTGTTCAACGGTAAATTCTCGCTCAGCTCAACTTCATCAACATTTTCAACTAAAAATTCACAGCCAATAAAAAAAAACCAAAAACCCCTCTTCATCTCAACTTCGACAGACCCACACCCCACCCCCTTCGTCCAAACTCAACCCCAACCTCACCCCTTCGACAGACCCAACCCCAACCCTAAATCCTCTCCATCGACGGCGGCGACCTCTTCGCCACCATCATCTCCGCTCCGAACCGAAGCCACCCAGTCTCCAACCAGACCCAAGCCACCCACCCAGTCTCCGCTCCGAACGCCAGCATCTCTCAACGGAAACGCCACGCTTCACCGAAGTTTGGAGGGGGGTTTTTTGTAAAATCTTCCCAGTTCGGAGCTCGGAAGCGCTCCACAAATTTGTGGAGCGCTTGGGAGCTCCGATCTTCTCCACCGCCACGTCGGCCCAAGGAGAGGGGCTTGGGAGTCCTTCAGAGCTTGCTGGAGGGGGGATTGGCAACATCCATTGCCACGTCGGCCTTGAGAGCGGAGTTCAGAGCTTGCTGGACTTGCTCTTAGGCTAAGGTCATGATCATGGGGCCCACATAAATTTATTTTAAAAAATTATATCCAACAAAAACAATCTTTAGTTTCAAGTTCTAGTTTGAACTAAAGAGAGTTTCTTCTGATTATTATAAAAACATGATTAATTAGGTGTATGATCTTTTTAATATTTTATTGAGATTTATATGGCTAAAGATAAAGGGGTGTATTTGATGTTGTTGCAGCAGAGGGCTTCACAGACACAGAAGATGTCTATACAATAGTGGAGAATAATAACACTGAATAAACACAGTGCAGACTCAGACACAGAAGATGTCTATACAAGAGTGGATAATAACAACACTGAATAAACACAGTACAGACAAAGAGAACAACACACAAGGATTTAACGCGGTTCGGTCAGTATGACTTACGTCCACGGACGAGAACAACAGAGAACTTCACTAATCACAAAAGAGAAGATTACAAAGGAGATTACTTTCTATCCAGATACTCACACAAAGAAAGAGACAAATTCTTTCTATCTCACTCTCTTCTCTCTCTCTCTCTCTCTCTCTCTCTTTTCTCTCTATTCTTCTCTGCGTCTGATGCTGTAAACTCTCTCCCACACCCCCATTTTATAGTTTACAAATAATAATAAAAAATAACAAAGTTGGTACGTGTTTTGTCATCATATCTGCATATTCAAAGAGTGAGATAGAATAGAGAGAGTTTACAACATCAGACGCAGAGAAGAATAGAGAGAAAAGAGAGAGAGAGAGAGTTTACAGCATCAGACGCAAAGAAGAATAGAGAGAAAAGAGAGAGATAGAAAGAATGATAGAAAGAATTTGTCTTTTTCTTTGTGTGAGTCTCTGGATAGAGAGTGATCTCCTTTGTAATCTTCTCTTTTGTGATTATTGAAGTTTTCTGTTGTTCTTGCCCGTAGACGTATGTCATACGGATCGAACCATGTTAAATTCTTGTGTGATGTTCTCTTTGTCTGCACTGTGTTTATTCAGTGTTGTTATTCTTCACTCTTATATAGACATCTTCTGTGTCTGTGAAACCCCCCTTGCTGCAACAGATGTTAATACAACAAAGGTTAGTCCATTAGTAGCTTAACAAAGAGAAAATAAAAGTAGTGAAATTCTCATGGAATTTTCTCGACTTGCTTCGATGTTACATATCCTCCCTCCTTTTGCTGGTGAGGTATTTGTTTGCACTGGTATAGTGATAGTAGTCATGCAGGGAGCAAGAGTACATAGAGTTTAATAGGCTGTTTCATCTTGTTACTCGATTAGCAGCAATCTTATTGCTTCTTAGTCTTAGTTTTATCGTGGTAGTTTCAGCAGAGCTAGTCGTCTTGATTAGCAGTGTTAGGTGGCACGCGGTGGTAGCATTGTTTGTATGGGGTAAATCAGCTTTATAAAATTTCAATGTCATTTTCTTGCATAAATCTTGTATTATTTTCTTTCATAAATCTACTTCAAAAGAACAGCTAAAAAATCATTACTTATTTGGAATACTGTTTTCTGGCTGTTGATGAGCTTAATCCGTGTCTCTTCATTTTTTTGAGTGCGTCTCTTGAAGGCCCACTTACTCTCTACAGGGGTATGGTTAAGCAAGGGAAACTTCAACATGATATCCACCAAGAAAAAGTAGCTATCGAATTGGAACGACTACTCGATAGACTGGAACAGTATGAGAACAAGATGGAGGAGTATCATGTACGTCTTAACAATCGCTGAAAAAGCAAAAGTTTCTGTCATGTTCTGTAAAATTCACTATGTGATCTTTTTCTAAAGAAGTTTGGCCTCTTTTTAATATATATTTGAAAGGAAAAGCTTGCTAATTGGGAAAGGAATAGAGAGATTGAGCATCGCAAACTTCTGCTGGAGGAAGCTCAGATTAAACAACAGGATGGTGTATGGACAAAAGAAAATGACACTCGAAGAAGTAGGTTCTTTGACAAGTGGTTTTTAAGGTAAGGTACTTTTACTGAAACTAAGGCTTGTTATGACATGAGGTAGATCTTTAGTGTCCCTCTTTATGGCTTTTCACAGATAATCTGATATCTATATCACCTTGCCATACTAACTAGTTTTCTCGATTATGTTGTCCACAAAAAGTGTTAGAAACGTGGTGGCATCACATTACATGGGTAATGTGGCAGTCAAAAATCATATTTAAGGATGATGTCTTACAAGTTTGTGTTTAAAATTTAGCTCCATAATTAAGTTATATACAATATAAATTAAAATTGTAAAACATAGGTAGATATTACCGGCTCAAAATATGCATGCAGTCACCGGCCTAAAAGATATGCACTGACATGGTGTGGTAACCCAAGGCATCATACCCAATAGCTATACACCCTTATCTGCTGCAACCCTTAACAGACAAATACTGAGGGGTGGCGATCTCTACTTGTATGTGAATTGTGAAACATGTCCAGATGAAAGAAGGGCATATATTTTAGAGTATGTATGAGGATGGAGAATTAGGAAGGAAAATTTTCTCTCTTGTTCTTTTATGAACTTTTTACTAATATGAATATAATACAACTTTCCTTTTTATATAGAAAGTATTAATCATAACATTACCCCCATTTAATAGGTTTATGAATGTATTAGTGGTTACAAAAAATTTCATAAATAAAATAATAAATTGATTTAGTGATGAATGGTACTTATATGAAATTTGAGTCTTTTTAATTAAAATTTCCAACAGATTGTGGTGTAGGAATGTGGTTAGCATAACAAATTGTTTGTGGCTCCCTTAGCAAATTTTATGATCTTCTCCCTTTGTGTGAATTTATGATTATTTTGATGTATTTATTTATGGTTTTTGAACATTCAACCGCAGTTTTAAAATATGTTTTGCAGCTAGCATCTTCAATTTTAAAAAAAAAATTCTGTCCCAGGGGAAGACGTGGAACTCCAGAACCTGGAGTCGGGAAAATGGTCTCGTATCTTAATCGAGAGAAGAAGTTAGATTCATTACTTGGTCGACGTCCAGTTGCACCTACAGCTCCAAGAGGAATATATTTGTATGGAAATGTTGGAAGTGGTACATATTTACATTGAAGAAATTCTTTGAATCATCTCATTCAAATTTCAGCCTTTTCAGTTTTTGGGTTTTCATTTTAATAGTCAACTGAAAGCATGAGGATTCGGCACAAGGTTTCCGAATTGATCTGTGGGAAGGGGTTGTTGTCTTCTAAAGACAAGCATGCCTCAAGTTTTGCCTGTAAATCGTTTGTTTGGCTATTCTTGTCTTAGGGCCCATTTGGATTCATGGTGTGTGTGTGTGTGTTTTTGTGCACGCGCATGCGTACGTATGTGTTGAAAATATGATTTCCAAAGTGTGATTAATTGGAGTAGTAATTATTTTACACCAAAATTTTTTCTAGAGTTGAGGAATCCCAAAATATCGCGATATTTTTGTGGTATTCATGGTAAGATAAACAGAGCCTGAAGATTGAATTATGCATTGTCCAGGGAAAACAATGCTTATGGACATGTTTTACTATGCCACTGAAGGTATTGTTAAACATAGAAGGAGGTTTCACTTTCACGAGGTGAGTACAGTTTATTTTGGTTTCTTTGTTACACTATAGACAAAGCAGTTTGCATCTAGATATTTATGTTAGCTAACATGTAACTTGGATTTTACCTATCTTCTTGCATATATGCACATATGACAGGTTCTAATACTTGGAACATGCTTTTGTACCCCAATTTCCGCTGCATATCAATTAACTGTGTTCATAGGAATCTAAATGGTTGCATATATTAATGATCTTCATATTAATGACATCATGCCAATGTTATTGAAAGCCGTAAGCTTCTCTGTGATCTGTGATTTGGATATTGCAGAGCTTCACAATTTGAACAATAATATTGACAGTCCCCCACTGGTATTACTTTTTCACAATGAAGCTTATCTCACTATGAATTCCTAGTAATTATCCAAGTGCAGAATTGCTGGTTATCTCATCTCAATGGAGCATATATACTCCATTCTCATACCATGAATCCTAGATGTTTTATATTTCTGAGTCTCTCTCCATCTTTCTACACTATAAATATCCCTTTCCTAGTATGATCAACTAGTACCTTTTTTACGGTTTGCTTGATAACAAAAATTTTAGACTGACTTTATCCTTTCCTATCAAAATATATCTATTGTGCACGCCATTTTTATCTTTATTTTGATCAGCATGCACTTGTGTGTATTGCTTTTTTTTCCCTTCTATTGGTAGATCTTTTGTTCTGTGAATTTGCAGTCAGCCTAAGCATCACAATTTTTTTCTACCTTCCACAAGTTTGCTTCATCTATCTTGGCAGGCAATGCTTCAGATACATGAACATATGCATGAGATTTGGAAGAATCAGGTTGAGGATAAATCTTCACACCCAAGAATAAGCAGCTGGGTTTCTAACCTCCCATTTGATACAAAAGTGAAAGAATGGTTAATTGGAGAAGAGAAATATAAAGAGGAGGTACGAAGGAAACATATCCTTCCTGCTGTAGCAGATAAGTTTCTTGTTGACAGGAAAACTGAGAAGAGTGGGGCGAGCATACTCTGTTTTGATGAGATACAGGTATCATGAAAGTACATTTAGAACATTGTTTTTTGTCTCTTCCCTAACATCTGTAAACAATGCGAAGCATAATTCTGAGATCTCAAATATTTCATTTCTAATATTCTTTTTTGCTTATCTTGCATGCTATTCTGATCTTGTAAATGACTTCCTCCATGTATATGACCTGCTAGCTTTCTTTGGCAATTTAGCCATTGTCAAGTTATGGTGAAAAGAAGAACCATAGCCATGTAAAACAATGCACCGGTACTCATCTGAGCTCCAAAATATTTAAGACTGATGGTTGAAGATAAGCTCCACATGAGTTCTATCTTATGGCTATTGTAATGTAACCAATTTTATGAGGGTGTAAAGGAGCAGGTCACGTTATATATCAACTGGGAATACACACACCCGTACGCACACTAATGTTCATACTCACAAGCCCACACAAGCATGCACACACAGGTACGGGAAATAATGGGCATGAGGTGGCAGCTCTTTTTGGTAAATGATTTACCAAGACATAATCTGGCGGTGAGACATTGATAGCTCATTTTGCTACATGAGGTACCAATCATGTCCATATATAATCAAATATAGTTACTTCTACCTATCTTTTACTGGTACTTTTTCCCTTCTGAATGTGAAGCTTATACATGGTCATGGTTATATTTGACTTAGAATTAGTGATGGTACTGGAGGTACAATCATAGAAAAGGTACTTCGCTTTCAGTGATGAACTTCTGATTGCCTTGATGTTTCTTGCAGTAAATCTCAATGATATTCAGTAAATATAGTTCTTATGCGGCAAGTTTAATTGAAATGATAACTGAAAACAAGACACAGGCTCAATTGTACCCTCAATGACAATTTCATTCTCTATTATTCAGTAAGACCTTAATTGCAATTTTTCAATTTCCATACAGACTATTGATGTATTTGCTATTGTGGCCTTATCTGGAATTGTAAGCAGATTATTAAGTACTGGGACGGTCCTCGTGGCTACCAGTAATAGAGCTCCCGAGGATTTGAATCAGGTAAAATTGTTAAATGATGTATTGAGTTTTAAGTTTATGACTGAAACTTCCCTGTTCTCTTGTAGGGTGATCAGATCGTTATTGTGTTCTATTCACTTATTTGTTAGTTGTTGTATGTAAGTTGTTAGTCAAAAACATGTCAAAAGTATTAGTATTGCTCAGGCAAATAATTGTCTTTCTATTGGGAGGTGTTTCCACTTGGTTCACTGGATACCTTCTTGGAGTTAACTGTTTGATCCTTAAACAATGTCAACATGTCACTGCTCCCTTTGGAGTTAAACTTTTTTCCTATTTTCGGGAATCTCAAGGTTATTGCATTTTCTGAACTAGTCCAACAAGCAATTTTTTACCATACAGCTAGCTTTAAAATGTTCGTGCATTTCTTTTCTTTGCAGTAGTTGCTTCTGCAGAAGCTGGCACCAATTTAGTCAAAATTGATGACTTGTCGTAACTGATCATAAGATTTTAGTTACTCCTTAGGGCCGCATAGAACAAGAAAGTGTGTATAGCTGAATCTATTTTGTTGATGAGGGTGGCGGTGGTGATGGTGAAAATGATAAATGACAATGGTAAACTAGTCATCATTATTTTCGTACAACACTATCATTTACCCTATGTAGGAATAGGAATTTGATCCCATGGATATTTACTTTGACTACTCTACTAAAGCTAAAAGCCCTATTTGCTTTGCGGCTCACTCCTAAAGGCTACATGGAAATTTTTTGGCAGTTGGCTTGGATAAGAAAGCCATAGCTCGGATCAATCAGCTCTTGAAGCTTTCCCCTGGGGACTCATTTCTTATCAAATGGATCTTCAACTTCCGTCCGTCAAGGCTCCGCAAATGGTTGATCACTCGTACAGATTTAATACTAAGAAATCTGTACACATGCTGATGAGGAACGGGCGGAGGGCTTCGATGTAGAGGCGAGATATCATCAACGGTTTGGCGGAACGATGGCATAATCCATAATAAATAGCAACTATTGTTACTATTAGAGGATGAACAGTACGCTTACTGTTCACAGAATGAAGATTATCCCAAGCAGTTGAATTGAGGCTGTTTTGTGGGTTTTTGGGGCTACTTTTTTT